TAAAGATCAGACGAATTTTGAACATACTTTAGTGAATGCAAGTATCAGGGTGCCATCACATCAGCATCCACTACTAATCAGCTTGCCAAGAGAACTGAAGATAAGTTGATCCAAAGTGGGGTTATAAATTCTGATGTGACGACCATGGCAGTGATATATCTTTATATGAGAAACCTGGGGTAACTGTTAAATGACGGCTTCATGTGAAATTTGGAGGTGAGATTTTTATCGAATGCGACGGTTGGAGTTGGATTCGTTGGACTCATGCTACGAAGCCTTAAGTTCCAGTAGAACTAGATTTTGTCCTTTTATCAACATTATACTTATGGTTCATTGGGAATAATTAATTTTAAGAAATTATATTTGAAATATTTCTTCTTTCTAAACTATAATTATTTTGATTTGTTTTGCTTTAATTTTTTTGTTTAAACAACATGGGATATCTTTTATTTATTTCTTGTATAGTACATCCAGTATGCGCTGCACCTAAATTGCGTGGTGAAATTGTATTCCGCCACTCCCGGCTCCCGCTCCTCTGGTTTGGTTCATTCTTCTACTGTTGTTGCTTTGGCAATCCTTTGTATTCCAGTTCTTAAATAAATCCTGACAAAAGATCACCAAATCTCGTATCTACATTATGGTAGATGGAGAAACTTACTTCTCCCCCGTCAAATGCGCTTAGTTGTTGCTGTGATATTCTTTATTATTTTATATGTTACACTCCTTGCCCTTAATTCGTCTTATAAATATCCTCATCCGATCCAGGTGAAGTTATTTTCTGTCTATGGTTTCTTAATTACTCAGGGTTTCAAGCATTAGCATATAATGTTTAACATCAACTAATGCAGAAATTTATATGAAGTTCTAAACTAGAGGGCTTGTAGTTATTGGCATGCACTTTTTTTTTTATTAAAAACTCTGTTTTTCTGTTTTCTTCAACTCACCCTGTGAATGAATCTTGATGAGAATGTGAAGGTGCTAGAATCTTCAATAAACATTCTCATTTTAAGTTTAACATGATAGAAAAATTACACAAACTAGATCAACGGCCACCAGAAAAGTAAAGATACAAATTATCACTAAGTTTACCCCACTAAAAGAAGTTTACGGCCATCATTAAAGAAGTTTACAGATACTATCACAAAGTTTATCCCCAACATAAAAGAAGTTTACCACCACAACCCCAGGTATATGGTTGTATGCACCCAAACCCAAATGATGGTTCAATAAAGCCAAGAGTTCACAAAAAGGGATTGTAGAGGCTACAGTAACAGTGCAAACTGCAGTACTAATAACATAAACAACATTCTCATCCTTTTTAAATTTGACCACAGCAATTTGGAAAAAACATTGCAGCTGTAAAATCAAAAAAGCCATAGTCATATTCTGCATTTGTCATCCAAATTACCATCCAAAATACAATAAGATGGATAGCAAAAAAGATGCGCTCCCTATCCACAGGTTCATCTTAGAAATGTTGCACAACTGGTGCAATGTAGAATACTTAATCTATTTGGAGGATTTGCAGGAGCATCTGGAGGATTAATAATTCTGGATTGTGATAATGACTAATCCAAATTATAAATAAAACAACATTCAGGAGATCTTCTATGTTACTTATAGAAGATCTCTCGAAATATCCTGAAAATCCTTGTTTTCATTGCTTTTGCTTTGTATTTGTAATCTTAGTTTTTGATTTCCAATCCAGATATCATTAATCCTCCAGCAGCTCCTGCAAATCCATGAGAGACTGCAGAATGAAGAGAATCAAGAATGAAAAGAAGCCTGAAGAATGAAGAGACTAACGTATGAAATTGAGACAAAAGAACGAAGAGAAGCCTTAGACTGACATTTGAAACAGAAGAATGAAGAATGAAGAAACTAACGTATGAAAACGTTAGGTTATGCGCTCTCTTATAATGTAGAGATCTTTATCACACTAGATGAAATAATTAATTCTCCCAACCGTTAGAACTTTTGTTGGAGGAATCCATTGAAGTAGAGAGCTTGAAATAGAAAAAGCGCCAGAAATACATTGAAGTCGATAATGCCTGGATTAGAAAGCTTACAGAAATCCATTGAAGTGGTGATGTTGATGTATGAAAGAGTAAGGTGACATGGAATAAAACAAAAAAAAAAATTGGTGTAAATACATGAGAAAATGGAATTATATTAAGAGTAAACGAGGTTTTCCCACCCAAATAATGGCTTAATCATATGAAAAGGGGTATTGAAAGTGTCCCAACTTTCTTTGAAATCAAGATGTGGTAAGGTTGTAGTGGTAAATAAATCCTCAACTCCATGTAATTACCGATTCTAACCTTGTGGGGCAATCGGTCCTTTTTTGCTCTATACATTGAGTAAACTACTTTTCCCACCTAAATAATGACTTAATAACTATTTTTCACCTACAGACTTTTAAAATACTATTTTACTACTCAAATTTATCTTCTGTTTTTGTTTCCGACATCATTGCGACCCCCACACCACCCTCATTCTTTTCTCCAATCATCACTCACCAAAACCCCTCAAATCATACTCCCACTAACCCCGTCAATCGCCGGCAATTGAGCAATTAAGGTTTGCACAACCACTCTCCCAAGTCAAACTATAATCAATTCTAACCATCAAAATCTAACATTCCACCACTAAAAGACTCATTGATCTTCTCTCTTCAAAAGCTCTAACAGTTTGGATTGAGTTTACTCTCAGTTGATCATCAAAATATAAATATAGGAATAAAATAATATTTTAAAAGTCTGTGGATGAGAAAGTGTCTTTAAACCATTATTTGGGTGAGAAAAAGTCGTTAACTTACATAAATGTGCTAGTCTCTCTTTTATTTGGTTTCTTCTATGATCCTCTCGGTATTATTATACCGCTTATATTTATTTTCCTTATTCCGTATTTTAAATATCCTTAAAGATCACCAGTATTTGAAACATTATAATTACGACAACTTTAAGAGGCACAAATACGATAAATACCCTCTTTCCTTTTCTTTTTTTAATCCATACGTCTAATTTAGTAACCAAAATAGTCATACCCGTGGGAATCTTTTTCTTTTCTTTTCTTTTTCTCAAAAGTGGGACCCTTTCAACCATATGCCCTTCTATCCATCCAACCGTGGAGAGCTATTATCATTCTTTATAATGGATTATTATGTACTTTTCTCTTATTTTGCTCATGCATATATATCATCACTATAGATAATGTTTAAATCGTCTGCTTTCTTTTAATCTAAATATTTAATTTAATAACCAAAGTATATTAATATATTTTTATCATTTCAATTATGGAATAAACGATTTCAAACTCCTTAAAAGTGATCAGAATTTAAAATACTTCTAGTATTCATATACTACAATACCAGACCTAGACAAAATTCATCCCTAAATATCCTTGTTTTATGTTTACATTTTGAATTTTAATAAAAATTAAACCTATATATTAATATTATAGGGTTCACGTTAAATTTACTTTCTCATGTCAATGAATGACTTAAATTTTATGGAAATAAAAATTAATCAATTTTAATGATTTTAAATTAGTTTTTGTTGTGCCTAAAAATCACACTGATGTCAGCACCAACCAATCAAAGTTTAAGAAGAATTTATGTTATTCAGGAGCTGCCACATCGCCCCAAGACAGAAGAGATACGGCTGTCATCAATCCAGCAGATTTAAGTTTTGTCGATGAGTGGATGAGGACCGCACACTTGTCCCAACTTTATCAGAATGAAAAAATAAGGATTAAAAAGTGGTCTTCACGTGTCATGACAACTTGTAGAATCACTCATTACAGTGACTTAAAAGGTGTATAAATGAGCATCTCTCTTTACGAAAAGGGGGGTTGGGCATATGGGAGCTAGACATAGATTTGAGCTCCATTCTTTCTCTCTGTAAGCAAAGTATTTCTTCATTTTTGTATGTCTTACAGGCAATATCATAGAAATAGTCAGAAAACAATAAAATAATAGTGGATATAGGATTTATTTTAAGCATCCGAACCACTATAGAAACCTCTCTTGTCAGTCTATTATTCATGTTTCTGTAACATATGTAATCTCAGCTCCATATTTAAATCTCATGGATCTATCACGTGTAATTTCTAAGACTCTCTTAACATTTTGCATGTGTGAGTCGTTGATGTTTAAAATCAAATATCAACAGTTTTGAAGCGAGCACGTACAGGTAACCCTCGATTAATTTATTGAAAAACAATAATTTGTTATTGTTATCTCGCTTCAAAATTCTTTTTAACTAACAGTTTTTTCTATTATATCATCATACATTTATAAAAATAATAACAATAATAAAATATTATCTTTAATTCTATACGTTAATGTGGTTCTATTTTAATGTTTATTGACTGGGTCAATATGTATATGACACATCATAGTCAATGTCAACCAAAAAATTAGAGGAAGACATTTTGATCACGCAATTGCCATATAGATACTTAGGCAATTCCAAGCTTACTTTTTCATTTTGTGTGGATATGTCTACATTCTAGAATACTCTTCTTCCATTACCAACTCTGATTGGTTATCATGCATCACATAATAATTTGAAAGATTTTACTGTTTTTGTTTCATAAAAAATAAAAATAAATTGACTTGATTAGTGAACTGTTATTCCTTCTGGAAAATTAAATTGATATTACCATGGCCAAGTAGCTCTAGAGAATTTACCCATTTCAACTGTATAAAAGATATTGACAGTAACTTGTATTATCGATTGCGGTAGATTAATTTGGTGTAAATTCAAAATTTAACTCCCCATATAAAGGGAAGGTTTGATCATCTTTCCCGGTTAGGAGATGTGCTTTAAGGAAATTTCCAGGAAATAATTGGAAAAGCGTGAAGTAGGGGAAGGGCCCAGTAGTAACAAGTCTCCGTCATTTGCATGACATGAGCCTAATAAGAGACTCCACGTTGCAGGCACCAAGTGGAGCCACTGATCACCGCTAATTACTAATGCTAAAGCTTAAGCACCTCATAATCAGACAAACAGATTGATAACTGTGTGCGCGGCAAACAATTAACCATAGTTAAGTAATTTCCCTGTACACTCTTCACAGACTATAAATATATCACTTCCTCCTCTCTTCGTTGAGAAATCGTGTAGCCAGTTTTCAGTCTGTCCTCTCCGCAGGGTGAGTACTCACATACTTTATATTTTTTTTTTTTTTTTTTATTAATTGCGATGTTTCGATGAGGATCTTTATTCATTTCATGACTCTGTTTCTTTTTCTTTTTAATTCTTTTCGGCAATTTTAGCTCAAGTTGTTTACCATCCTTTAGTTGATGATAAAGTGGATGAGTGTCTTCATGTTTTCGGTTTTTTTTGTTTTCCTCAACGTGAAGCTCCTGTTTGAATCATGTTTGGCTGGGTTAAGGATGGATTTGGTTTTGTTTGGCTTCTAATTGGAGGAATTGCTTTGGTTTCTTTTATTAATCAACAATTCATTGAGACATAAAAAAAAAAATAATAATAAAAAATAAAAATAAAAATTGTTAATGAGTTTTGCTTTTGTGATGCGGTTTGATTTCATTATTGTAGTTCTTGAGGAAGTGTCAAGTTTGTATATGCATATATATGTATATATGTGAAATTGATAATAAAATTTTCTTTTGTGATACAGTTTGATTTACTAATTGTAGCTCTTGAGGAAGAGTAAAGATTATAGATATGTATATATTAAAATTAAGCCCTATGGCTATTATAGCTTTCTTGAGTTTATTAATATTGTTTAAACCATATGTGAAGTCTAAACCATAACCTCCGGTTTATTGCAGATTTGATTACAGTTTCACTTCCTCTGCTTGTATTGGGGTAGGATGTGTCCTCCAGCGGCTTCCCCACTCCCTGATATTGATACTTCTTCAACTTATGAGGAGTTCTTTGGTTCTTTGGAGAAAATGAACAAGGGATACCCTCTTCCAAGCAATGTGATTAATGATGTTGATCCTTACAGTCTTATGCCCTCAAATTTACCTGGTATTATTTTGTTTATCTAATTTATTGGACTATAAAATATTGCTGGTGCCTTCAGTTCTATATCATTCAAGTGTTTACAGTTTGACTGATCTACTGAATAGGATAGTAACATATATTAGTAATAACAGGTTGAGATTGCTAGATTTGAGAAATTCTCATTTATTCAATTCTACACAAACCTCAATGGAATATTTAGGAAGGATGCTCTAATAAGGCTTTGTGACCTATGATTTAATATGTGAAGCTACTGAAGTATTTAACAGATGAAGAATTATGGTTCTGGTTTAGGAACTGCTGACATTATCTAATTCCTGATATATGAGTTTTTTACTTTGTCTTATTCTTTTTTCTAATAACTTGTCATGAAGAAGGTTGTAGGGCATGAGAGTCCAAATGCTCCCATCATCACTTGTGTTCAATTGTATCATTGAATTTGATACTATTGACACATATGAGAAGTTAGGTAGCTTATGTTCTAGGGCCTTATATATAAGTGTTTGCATATTGTAAACTTAAGCCAATAGGTCAGGAACTGATTCCTTGTGTATAAGTTTTCGCGTGTATATTCTCTTTTAATGTGGGATTTACTACTGGTACACTCACATGTATAACAATTTTGCACATAAATCATGGCATGTTAGAGTACAGTTTGGCTCTATGATAACAGAACTTATTAAAAATACTTGTTATATGCCAGATGGATTGTGGTTCTTGGTTCCTTATAAGGACAAAACAATTGCACAAAATGGGCATTGGAAGGCAAAAGGGGAGGCCTGCGAAATATTCTCAAATTCTGTCATTACTGGTTGGAGAACTACTCTTGAATTTTATGAAGTTCAAAACCAACATGAGCGTAAAACTGATTGGGTAATGCAAGAATTCAGAATAACACAGAAGAAATGGTGTGAAAGCAAAAAGGCAGAGGTATTCTGCTAGGCCTATATATTTATGTGCTAATATTTATATTTTTTTTATTCTCAATCCCACCTGCCAGTAAATCACCGGTATGGTTGGAAAATGTGCAGGATGCTAGCTCACTTTGCAGAGTCTTCTTGATTGATAAACTAAGTCCTAGCCATGAAAAGCAGCAAAACATGGCTGCTGAGTCTGCTGCGGACATTAGTGGTGGAACCCACATTCACTCGACAGAATTAAGTTCTGAAGTAGTTAAGAATGATAGAATTCAAGGCTCTACTAGCAAACCCCAGGTATTCAGTTTTAACATTATGGCACTCATTTCTTGATGCCTGGGTTGGCTTTCACATTGAACTATTTATCAGTTTATAATTATATCACACTATTTGGCATCATGTGCTGTGACAATTTAATTTGCAACTGACTTTTCAAACCCGTTTTAGCTATTTTATATTAGTAGATCTTTTGAGTTGTTGTCTTTTAATGCAGGCAGTTAACCATCACATTTAACTATTTGCCTTTGCATGGCTTTGTATCTAAAATACCTGCCATTGTGTCTAACAATTGAACCTATGGATCTCTTGATCAGGGCTTAACTGTTTAACTGACAGGTGAGTTTTAGATTTCAATTGTTAAGAATCAATACTTAGCAAAATTTCCTTTTTTCCCCCTTTTTTTGGATAGGAATCTTAAAGAGTATGGTAAAAGTAAAAAAAGAAAAAGTACAAGAGCGGACCAGATTTCTCTTCTAGTAAGAATCCTCCCAAAATAGGGGACAACAATCTATGCAACAACCATATAAGCCCAGTTAACAAAAACAGTGATAAATGAACTGATAGAGCAGCCTCAAAAATGAAAACAAATCAGATCAAGACTCCTTCCCCTTCATTATGAATGAGGAAGAAGCGTGTGTGTTGAAATTTTTTAGAAATGGAAGTCCAGATGGATGCAATAATCTAGTTTTGTTCCACAAAAAACTGATTATTTCTTTCTTGTCAAATCACCCATGACATAGCTGAAACCGCATACTTCTGCATGGGTCACAACTTAAAAATTTATTTTGTTTTAAATTTGGTGAAATTCGAAAGGTCAGTTTAGGATTAACAAGTGCTCACACACAGAGTTTAATTGTCTTGTGGAAGGACCTGTATGACATGGAGGTGATGATAAGTAAAGCAAATGGTATAAATAATCAATCAGTATTTTCTGTTCTTATGTATATACAGAGGCTTCTTTTTCTTTTATGGTCTTTGTTTAGTTATTTGTTTCACTGTGTGTGTTTGAGCGGTGGTATTCTTATTCTGTGTTACGTTTTGCAGGTGAATAATGATGATGATGAGACAAGAGAGATGGCTGCTATGGAGAGACAGGCAAATTGTCTTGTGGAAAATCTGTCTGAAATTAGTTATTTATCTGAAGGTGACTACCTGGAATTGTGTGATCTTGACTACCCGGTATCACCTTCTTCAAGTTCGGAAAATTCAAGTTGCATGACCATGTCATCAGACGAATATTTTGATTCATTGGCTTTGTTGCAAGAGCTAGAAACCAAAAATAGTGATGACATAGTTCAGGAGAATGCAGGGTACAAGTATAGTTTCTCAACATCTCACAAACCAAACAAAGTGGTTATGTTTCCAGGTATCTTAAATTCCTTTTCTTTGTCATCTTACCTTTTGTGTTCCATGTGAATTTTTTTGACTTGGTAATACTTTTTATATTTTCCTTGTGAACATATTTGATTTTCCAAATTAAAGAAACCTGTGGGCTCATTCTTGGAACTGAACTAATTAAAGCAGATTTATCTAAGCAATTTATCTGCTATCATGAGATTATGCTGCTGGACAAATGGTTTACAAATTGAGTTCATGGACTAATTTGTGAGAAATTTGGCATAGTTGCTTAAGTTGGCAGTTTTCTATGGTATCCTTAAATTTCTATCCCCAGTTAATAAAGTGAAGGATTCGGAAAATTAGAGTGATTGTTAAAATCCAATGTGCTGATCTTTTGCTTAAGTTCAAAGATAAACTTATGACAAGATGGTCAAACAAGCCTCATTGTAGTTACTCAATTTGATCTAAATAAAAAAATAAGAGTAACTGTGTGTGAAAGAGCATTTACAATTTGATCATGTGTGAGAGTTTTATTTAATATTAGGAACCTTTGGCCTTTGTTAAATGATGGGAGTTTGGAACTTGATTGAAAACATTCGAGTTACTTGATTCAATAATGAAGTTTAACTTTGTTTTATACAATTATGGAAGTATTGCCTCGGTTGAAAAACTTTTTTTCGTTTTCATTGTTTTGCTGAATTCAATGCCTACTACGAAGTGGAAGTTATTCTGATTTTTACTTTGTCCACAGAGTCTCTTGTCAGCATAGAAAGAAGCAAGTCTACAAGTGGAGAAATCTTCAAAAGTGATTCTTCAGTACCTGACTCAGCCATGGCGAGTAAAAATCTAGATCAGCTGGCTGGGAAGCAGGCAATCAATGTTCAGAAAGCAGACTACAGGAATGAAGGTCCATCATCTAATTCTCAATATTCTGCCACGTCATCTGATACAAACATAGTAATTCCCAGGAAGAAAAGGAAGCCTACTGGGAGAATTAAACAGCTTAAAAAGAAGTATTTCTGCTTTATGCCATTTTAGCTGATACTCCTTCCATTTCACGCGTAGCATCAGGGTGCAAGTAAATTACCATAGTTGTAGGTTAACGCTCTTGTCATCCCAAATGTGTCAATAGTCGCAGGGTCAATTGAGTTCTCAAGATTTATTTAATGGATTTGTAGTATTTATGTTTGTTATTGATTGATAAAGTTAAAAACCTGAATGAATATCGAGTCTAGGCTTAAAAATATCTGGTCAGTGATAGGTTGAATAGAATATTGGGAGCCTTGGAGCTTTTTTGTCCTTGTAAAGATATTAATGAGCGGTTCTGCTGTTGTAAATTTTTTATATGTTAATTTCTGTCAAGTACATTTTTCTCCATTTGCCCAAAATTTTTATGCTGAGTTTCCTACTTACGAAAAGTTTGGGAGCTCTTTACACCAAAATATTGGGTGAAAGGGAATACTATATTATGAGTGACAACATACTGTAAAAGCCATGTGAATAGTGAGAGTGACCAAATTCAATATTTGCTAGTACTATTTGCTGTGACAAATGGAATTTCCTTTTGTTTAGATGAGACTTGAACAAAGGGATTAAGGTTAATTAATTGTGCCAAATGACAACAATATCTTTTAACTGTTAGAATTAAAGTTTGAACTTTGATAGTTTTCTGAAGCAGGGGAAGTAACTGTATATATCATTGGCTTGGCGCTTTGCAAGCAGAGGGACTTTGCAGTAATTTTCCAAAAGTTGTATTGGTTGAAACATCCAGCTCAATTATTTCCAAGTACATTCGTATTTCTCGACTGCTGTTCTTACGATTTGACAACAATTTATTGGATGAAAGTCAACAAAACCCAAATTTCTTTTAATCTTGCGGGGCAGGGCCGGGACATTGCATTTGCAAAAGGAAACCAATTATGAGTGACAACATAGAGTAAAAAAAGGCCACGTGGATAGCTTTGTCGGTATGGGTGTGACTGACTGAATTAATTCTGTATTGCTAACACTCTTTGCTGTGACAAAATGAAATTCTTCTGGTTTGGATGGCACGAGTGATGACGAAGATAGGAAGACTTAGTCACTTGCTAGTTGTTATTCCATCAAATGCTTTCCGTAAATGACCCCAACTAAACAACACCAACCATAATATATTAAACTCGGAAACCTGAATTGACCACTGCCCTAATTTATGTTGAGCGGCACGTGCCTGCTTAACTATGCTTGGGCTATAGGCCGGCCCCAAGTCAAGCTCCCTCACAGGGAAGCATCTAACATGTTCTCCAAGGGTTAGCCTCGTGAGATTATGGTCTCTTTTTAATTTGAAGCCATAAGCAAAATAGTAATTGTAATTGTAATCACATACCACTTGCATTGTGTACTGTACAGAATATCTTTATGCTGTGAGTGGTGCCCACCCAGGATCTGTTCTACAGAAAATAAAATCCTTGTGGACAATTTTCTTAAGGCCCACTAACATTAACATATCTGGCGACAGCTGACTCCCTGACACTGCCACTGGCCACTGCAATTGATTTACCATATTTGTATGTTAAATTGATCCACGATGTTTTCATTCCAAACAATCAAGGAATCACTAAAATTTGTGTAAACCCAACTTTGAACTATAAAATCTGAAAATTGAAGTGATGGTAATGGTTGTGAGTCACTTGGATTAGTGAGGAAGAAAGTAGTTAACGTGGTGGAACCCAGTGTCTTGTCTGCTTTAGCTATCATACCTTATCAGCGATGCTCTATGTCCATTCCCAGTAATTCCCATATTTTCATCTTTATACAAATACCAATTTTGTATTATAACAGTTCATCACCTCCTTCTTCAATTTTCACATTTTTTAGAATAGAAATTAGAAACTTCTAAGTGGAGTTAGTAATGTAATTGACAAAGATAAGACACCTTTTTCACTGCTCTCTATGTAAAGACAATTCTTATTAAAAGTACCAGCTTGGAAATACCACTATATTCACTGCACTCATGGTCAAAAAATTCTGCCAATCTTCTAATATAATTGTCTCATTACATGCATTATTAGTAGAATTTACATTAAAACCGATTCAGTGTTTTGTCCTCTCAGGAAAGATAGTGGTCCAAACTCTTTATCATCAACAACTAGGCATACAACAAATCTGATTAGAACATTTACGGCTAAGATGAATTAAGAGATTGAGTACACTTTAAGTTATAATACTGCTCACCACATATTAAAATAGTCAAATGTTTTTTATTAAATTTCATTTGTTGTCCCTATCGTTTTACTTTATACCAGGGTGTCCAAAAGGTCCACTCTTCTTTAACCTTTATGATCATTACACATGTTATGTGAACATGTCTGCTTTTTCTACGACTATTTCCGCCTAGACTTTCTAATCCAACGGCCGTGTTCACATCCCAATCATCCTACGGTTATAACTTTCATGATTCTTAATCAACGCCTCACGTTGCTCAGCAGTGGCGGGAAAATCAGGTGGGAAAATAAAGCAACAAAAAATTAATTTTATTTCAGTTGAAATAAATTTAAAAATGGGTGTATTTTCCTGTGTATGTGACAGACAATTGTGCGTGTGAGTGGGTAACCCATGTTCGATAGGACAAACACCGACGGAAGGTAGAGCCTGCCCACCACGTGGACCCACTACATGAATTTCGGCTTTCCGTTACGCTGTAAATTGTAATCTCCTTACGTTATTTTTCTCTTCCTCAATTTGTTCTTGTTGGGTGTTGGCTTCTTTAACTAAATTACGAAACGGACACATTCTTTCAAAAGGATTATGTCTAGAGAAAATTATTTATTTTTTAAATTAATAAATTCAGCATTGAAATTTACAATTTTAGTTTAATCAATAATTATAATTTTTAAAAAAATTACAAGTTAAAAGAATACTTAAATTTAGTGGTGAATCAAAATTTGAAAAATACGAGAAAAGACAGAGGTCATCACAGTCATTTCGAAATACCCACTACCTGCTTTTCCACAAGTCAAACGGTCAACCCATTGTGATAAAAAACTCCCCTAATCCAGAAATCCAAAACCGTATCCTTAGCTCCATCGTAATGCATGATTAACGAGACCACTCACTCCTTACGTGTCATGTCTCTATTGGTTTGCTCTCACTCGTCAGGATTCATAGCAACACAACCAATAAACAATACCAGTCACTCTCAAGTCTCATCTCTCTCTCTCTCTCTCTCTTTTTCTCTCACACTCACACACAAAATTCACACACGCGCTCTCTTAACTTTCTCTCTCCTGCTGTGTGTTTTCTCTCTCCAAAAAAATCCCAATTTTCTCCCAAATTCCTCTCTGTTTTGCTTTCAAAAACTTCACATTTAAACTCACCAATGCATGATCTTCAGTTTAAATACAATTTCGACTCCTAAATGTTATATCCTCACTGATTTTTTATAAGTTTACTATTTTCAAAACAGAGAGAATGCTTGAAACAATGGAGAGTTCAGTTAATGGTGGGTTTTCACACTTACAGAGTTGTGGAGATAGCAGTGAAGAAGAACTCTCTGTGCTTCCACGTCACACTAAGGTTGTGGTTACCGGAAATAACCGTACCAAATCGGTTCTTGTGGGCCTTCGAGGTGTTGTCAAGAAGGCTGTTGGCCTTGGTGGCTGGCATTGGCTGGTAATTATTCTTATTTCATTTGATTTTACGCAGAATTTTGGTTTTTAAGTTTTTGAAGTTTGAATTTTGTATTTTAAAAGCTCCAAAAGATATTTTTTTAATAATGTGGATATACCTGGTGGTTTTGGTTTATTATTTATAGCAATTTTAAATCATTTCAATTAATAATTACTCATTTTTGTTTTGATTTTTCAGCATATTTTGTTCAAATTCAATTTAAATTTGGTTAATCTTATGAATGTTATTAGTTCTCCAATTATAAAACCTTGGTTTTTGGATGAATTTTCAAATTATTGGTTTTTCATTTGTGATTTTTTGAATTGGATTGTTATTTCAGGGTTTTAACTTGTAATTTTGAGGTTTGGGAAATGGATTTTGCTTGCATGTTTGTTTTTATGTATGGATCTGGAGTTCTGTTAGGTTTTGAGCAATGTGGTATTGTTTTTTCTATTAAAAAGAAAAAAAATTGGCGAGGACTTGTAACTATGTTGAATTTATTTACTATTTTTTTGTTTCCAAATTTATTTTTAGCACTTTCATTGATAAAGGTTTAATTACTGTCAGAGCATGGTCTTTTGGTATATTAGTTAGGAATTTATCTTTGCATTGGGTTTACTTTGAGTTTTAGGCACTTGATGGAATTTATTTGTGATGGTTTTTTCTTGTATTGTAAGAGAAGTTCAACATTTTATTTTTTGGATTTTGATGTATTATTCTTAGCACAATTAAATTTTTGAATGTTCTTGCACGTTCTATCCTTGATCTTCTTTTGCTCAATAATTATTTCTAATTTACATGCTTCCTCCGCTGTCTGTGAAATTTAGCTATTTTATTTCAGAAGTACTCCTGTTTATTGACTTCCTTTATGAAGGTGAACAATAAAAAACCGAGGCTTATTGAAAATAAACATACCTATATCCTTGGTTATGACATTGCAACTTAATTTCATTTTTGCTTCATTTCCACTTCTTTTATCAAGATTAAACTAATAACAAAATAAAATCTGCATTTTCTGTTCTTTGACCTGTTTTGGGTTGAAATAATGATGCCTAGTTTTTTTGGAGTTTTCTACCTTTCTGTTATTCCCTAATAGTTTAAAATAGCTTGCATTCTGTTTTAGCTGGTCTATGTCTTCAGGGCACATTTTAATTTTGAATTTTTATTATCTAACAACATTTATATGTTTTTCTTATCCATGTTTAGCTATTTGGTTTAATGACTGTCTGTGTGTCAGTTTCAATTGAAGTAAATGTCTTTATAAGATGGACTTGGTTTCCAGATAGACTGTTTATAATTTGTCAAATAAAAGTCGAATTTCCCGTTGAACTTCTATTTTCTGATACTAGATTGTTTGACTATGAGTATTATGTTTGTTTGTTCAACTGATCGAGCAACAGGTTCTAACTAATGGGATAGAAGTGAAGCTGCAAAGGAATGCCCTCAGTGTAATTGAAGCTCCTACTGGTAATGAGGAAGATGATGACCTTGAATTTGACAACGGGCCTTGGAATGTATCAGATATGGGTGAGTTTGATTCTTCAGTTATTTCTTCCTTAATGTTTTAAATTTTGTGCTCCTGACATCAATTTTTTAATTGCATGAGTAAAGCAGGAACTCTCCAATTTTTGGGTGTCAGTACTAATTTTGGAATGCAATTGACTCTACAAACTTGTGTGATTGTGTTTCCTTTCCTTTCCTTTCCTTTTTCTTTCTAATATTGTATACATATGAATGATTGAATCTGCTTGAAGCATGATTTCTTTCAAATTTTGCTTCAATAGATTGTTATTAGTAAGTGGCACAATCCTTTTATTTAGTGGCAAACTGAACTGTTTGTTTCTACTTTAGAAATTGTGTTTGGAATAATGCATTATTTTTAAGAAAAGTGGTTGAGGTTGTTACATAGGATCCATTCTCTTCA